AGATGTTTCAATTCACTCAGTCTTAAGGGAGATCTCTGAACATCCAATATATTCTTTGTAGCACAGAAAGCGTCCTTCAGAACAAACTGAAGCAGGAGAAACAAGAGGTCCAGCAACAGATGGCATTTTCCCTTCATCCATCCCAACCCCTCCCCCACTCTCTGCTCCCCCCTCCAGGGCTCTCCTAACAACAACACAGTCCGTCTGGGATTACATGAAGAAGCAGGAGTTGCTGAGACAGACCTAAATCCACAGAGAAACTGTAGCAAGTCCTTCATGGTTACTGGAGGAACCTGTGCATATCAAGCACTGATAACAACCATGTTCCAAAGAGATACTGCACCCAGTTCTAACATAATTCATCCTATGGTGATGGAAGTTGTCAATATTTATTTTATTCTTATCATTTAGGCACAACTCTTATTTATTGTCATCAGATTCATGACACAAAGTCTTCAGAAATGATTGAGAAACAGGTTCAAATAAATCAAAAATGATTTAAAAAAATGTATGTATTCGTTTGATTGAATTAGCTGCAAGAGATATCTTAACTGTCTTTTATGAAATGGTTGTACAACTTTAATAGCAACTAAATGCTTTGGTAATACACATCAGTTTGGAGGATGTTCAGCTTATTTATACATAAAGAACAGTTTAATCTCTAAAAATGTAAGCCAGGTCTTTGGATGTGACATTTTTAATACATTTTTACCGATCTATGAATGACCAGCATGCATGTTATTGTGTTTTTGCTGCTTTAATAAGAACATAGTGTTTCTCCTTGCAGCCTTTTCATGTTCAGTGCTCTCCTGATGGTGGACTCATGAAAATGATCATCAGCATTGTGAAAAAACAACAACCTTTCGTGGACAAGAAGCTTTCCTGGACTGTGTTCTCATCCAATTGACTGTCACATACTAAGCACATGTGCAATCTTTGCTGGTCAACAGACTCATGGATGAGATAACATTGGTCCTAGATGTCTTTCTACTTAGTCTGACTCTACATTGGTAAAGTTCAAACCATTATGATTGTGTACATTTTTCCTGCCTGGTGAGCATCAATAATAGGCCTGTCACAATAACAAATTTTGCGAGGCGATTAATTGTCTCAGAAATTATTGCGATAAATGATAATATTGTTTGAAATTTTACCATAATTAGTAATTATGGTCAGATTTAAGAAGAAATGTTGGTTAATTTGTTTTGAGTGTAGTATCTTTTTTTTACCACTGGATGTCAGTATAAAACTTTTTAAACCGAAGGATGGATAATGAGGGAGCAGCATGTCTCTTTAAGAAAAATGGGAGGGAGGCTCCTTGACATGACATGGGCTGCCTCTCCTTCCTTTTTTCGGTTCTCAAAATGGCCGATGCTCGGTGTGGTTTGAGCTCTTTAGCATAGCATTTTTCACACAAAGCTTTTAATAAAAAAAGTTAGAAAACAAGTTTTCAGCTTCTTTTTGCTGAGAAGAACAACTTTTTACACGAAGGCACGGATTTCAACCGTGAAATTTTGAGCTTCGACAAGACGAAGGTTTTTTCCCGAGGTCGGCCTATTAGCATAGCTCGTAGCTTGGCTTCTCAGCTTAGCTGCTTTAAACAACCAAAAAAAACGCGATTTTGGACTGTTAAAAAAGATTTTAAAGAGAAAAGAAAAAGGGAGGGGTCAAGTGCACTGGAGTTGAGCTTTTTGTCATCCAACGTCTTCAGTAGAAAGAGAGAGACATGAAGAAACGATAAAGCCGATAAATGAAAATGAGATTGATAGTTTTCATTTATCATGTAATTAATTGATTTATTGTTTTGACAGGCAGGTCTAATCAATATTTATTTTTATGGACTGCCATCCAAAAAGTGGAAGAATAATGTTATTTGCTTGTATGTGTGTCCATGTGTCTGTTACCAAACTATCTTAGGAATCATCGTACAAAACTTAATAAACCGCTCAGAAAATAATCATTGGATGGACATCTACAGCTGATTAATTGTTGGAGATGTTCCAATTTAGGACACCTGATAAAGCTAAACCAAAATTAGCCAACACAAAATTGACATTGACAATAAGCTAAAATTGAGCTGTGGTTGTGTCTGACAATCATTAACAGCACATACTCTGAGAATGAAATCTCGCAATAGCACAAGATGTGCAAAATATTATATTCCACTATTTATCCAAACAGCTACAACTTCATAATTTCTCGACATGTTCTTAGTTTAAAACTGGAAAAGCAGCGATTGACATGTATTCCTTCAAGGAATGTCATGCTTTAATATCAAGTGTCTTCAGGCATCTCACTTTATTTACTGTTTTAAAACACATTAATAAACGTGAGTTAAGCGCATCAGGGTTTTCTGAATCCAATAATTTATAAAATATCAGGATATTTCTACGGTTGTTGCCAAAATTAATGAAATTTTGGAACTTCCATCAATCCCTTAATCGAGTGTTTACTTTTAGCCTATAAGGCTATTATTTTAGAAATAAAAAGGAATATTTTGTGTTTGTCTTTGTAACAGCATGGCAATGCAATGGTTAGAGCTTTCACCTCATAGCAAGAAGGTTACAGGACTGCCTAACATGTTTTTAAAAGCTTTGCAGAGAGTGGTGAAGGCTGCACAGAAGTCTATTGGAGTCAGGCTCCCCACCATCACAGACATCTACACCTCCAGATGCAAGAAGAGGGCCACCTGCATCATGAAGGACCCCACTCACCCAGCACACACACTTTTTGCCCCGTTCCCCTCAGCCAGGAGGTTGAGGAGCATTGTGTAGAACCACTAGGCTGAAGAACAGCTTCTACCCTGAGGCTGTTAGACTCATGAATCTCTAACCAGAAAAATCACTGTGAAAAATCACATCATGCTGCTGATTTATTTCATACTGCCGTGTTCATTCGTACTCATCTGCTCACCCAGACTCATGTTTGCGCTGCTGTTTGGCATATTGTTTTTGTACTACTAGTGCTTAGTGTATTTTTAGTTCATGTTTTTCTTAGTTCATATCTTAGATCTTATTACTGTTTTTCTTTAACATTTTATACTTTTGTTGGATGTAACATGTGTATACAGTTTCGTTCCACCACATGTACCAATGTGGTGCGTATGCCAAATAAAGAACCTTGAATCCTTGAATATATAGTGACCTGGACCAGTCATTCGTGTGCATTGCTTTCCTGTCCCCAATCAGTCGAGACAGATGGCTGCCTATTCTGAGCCTGGTTCTGCTGGAGTTGTCTTCCTGTTAAAAGGGAGTTTTTCCTTTCCACCGCAGCCAGGATGTGAAATTAAGACGAAGTAGAGATTCAAAGCAATCTGCTGGCTTTCTTAGATAGATAACTTTTACTATTTGGCATTTTATACAGCATGTGAATGTTAATGTACACCCTGAGATGACTTGTCGTGAGTTGGCACTATATAAATAAACTGAATTGAATTGCCTCCTGCCTGGGCTCTGTCTATGTGGAGTTTACGTTTTCTCCGTGCACATGTGGGTTTTCTCCAGGTACTCCAGTTTCCTCCCACAAACCAAAACCATGTATGTTAGGTTAATTGGTAATACAAAATTTCCCCTAGGTGTGAGTGAGAGTGTGAATGGTTGTTTGTCTCTATATGGCCCTGTGATGGTCTGGAGACCTGTCCAGTGTGTCCCCCGCCTCTTGCAGTGACTGCTGGGTATAGACACCTGGAAAAGAGAAGTGGATAAAAAAAAAATGGATGGTGTTTGTTCACAATTTCATATATTATTTTGGGACATCTGTAAAAGATTTTACAATCATTCAGCACAACAGTTTTTAAACATTACTTAAACGTTATCAATAAATCCATACATTCATTATCATCTTTTACCCGCTTCTTCCTTTCTGGGTCGTAGGGGTCAATGGTGCCCATATCCAGTCGTCACTGTGCGAGAGGGGGTGCACTCTGGACAGGTCACATGTCCATCACAGGGCCACCATGTCAATAAATAAAACAAATAAAATATTTAAGTTTTGGGTGCAGTGTCATTTCCCCATCTTGCAGATTCTGTATTTCAAACCTTAAATCCTGTCATAGACATCAAATGTCATATAACACATAAAAAGAAGTTGCAACATCCAGTCCTTGAATAATAAGAAATATATTAAAATCCAACATCAATGATGTATACAAATATTGTATACACGCATCATAGCAGGTAATAAATGCTCTCAGATGATTGTGGTTGCTCAGTCATGTGAGGTGCTTCTCCTTACTACCCACCCATCCATGCATGGCCCCTTCTTGCAGCTCAGCCCCCTCAGGCGCCCACCCCATCTTTTCCCCCATGACATCCATCTGAGCAGGACCCCCGCACCTTTTGTTGTGCATGGCTTTCCCTTCTTTGTTAGCTGCTGGCCAGTAGCCTGCAGTAGGAATGACAGCAACATGTCAGCCATGTTTTATTTTATGATTAGAGCAAAAACATATAATAATAATAATCATAAAGGGACTGGTTTGTTTGACTTTTATTTGAAGATTTAGGGGAAATGGGCTGATAATTTGTTTAATATCTATCTATCTATCTATCTATCTATCTATCTATCTATCTATCTATCTATCTATCTATCTATCTATCTATCTATCTATCTATCTATCTATCTATCTATCTATCTATCTATCTATCCATCCATCCATCCATCCATCCATCCATCCATCCATCCATCCATCCATCCATCCATCCATCCATCCATCTATCTATCTATCTATCTATCTATCTATCTATCTATCTATCTATCTATCTATCTATCTATCTATCTATCTATCTATCTATCTATCTATCTATCTATGTATCTGAGGTTAGCCTCCTAAGTGAACTGCAGATAACCTCATGACGTGGCACACATAGTATTGAAGCCTATATACAATTCGCATGGAGGTGCTGGTGCTCTGAGCCTCCGTTAAGGCTTTGCAGATCATCTGACTTCAGTCCAGATGAAGGATGAGCTTCTCAGGCGTAGACATTGTCCAACCTGCTGATGCTCCCTCGTCTCATCGCAAACTCTTGTGCACCCTCTGGTGCTTGCTAGTCTCCCAAACTTCTTTGTGTAGAGCCTGCCTTGCAGATTGTCTTCCTTGTCTGTGTGGTTGCTCATTATTCAGAGACAGACGGATCTCAGGTCATCTGCAGCTGCAGCAAAGGAGAAGCAGGAAAGATGGCGATCATCCATTAGACCGACCGGGGCGCACGCATGAAATACGAGGACAACTTTTGGGAGGATAGCTCGAGGAGAAGATTGAACCAGTGAGTGTTCTCAATTTTTATGCACGATTATATTTCTAGTTTCGTCCAGGTTTTCGGCTGAAGGTCCGCGAGAACGTCGCTTTGGTAGATCATGGGATATAATTTGGAGAGCGCCTCGTGAGTGACCTGGAAAGAGAGAGGGCTCAGGTCCAGACGACGATTTGGGAGATTTCATTTGTTTTTAGTGACTTGAGCCACCAAGCAGCCCCCCCACCGGAAAAGTCAAGTGGGTCTTCTCGCTTCCCAGGTTTACATGTATATCCTTTAAACCCAAGCGCTTCCTCCTCGCTATTATTTCGTCGCTCGGGTTTGTTGTCAGAATGACACAAGGAAATGGACGGTGGCGGAGCTGAGAGGGGGCTCGCGCGCCGGAGCGGATGGGCTCGTTGCTGGTCAGGGGGAGTTAGTGGCCGCGGCCGAGCGTTAGCTTCATGGAGGAGCCGTAGCACACGGATTGCTCTCCACAGCAGACCATTAGCCACACCGAGGAGCTGATAGCCGCTGGTCCGGTCACTCACGCACATAAAGACCATGGGAGAGAGCCATGTTCAGAGTGAGGACCTTCTTCTTCTTCTATTTTGTTGTGGAAACATCTAGCTAGCTATTGTGCTCTCCACAGCCGGTGGAGCTAGGATTCCCCAAAAGGTCGTGAAATGAATGTAAACCCCGTTGCTTTGTTTTTTTATCGGATATATTTCTATGTGAAGCTTTTATTTTGTGGTGCTTTATGGCGACGTTGTTCTGTGCTGCTGTCACTCACTGGTTTCCAGTCAGGTGTGTCACAAGCTTCACCATAAAATGGAGGAAAGCAGATGAGTCTCCAAGGAGAGCCCTGGAGGAGTCAGCCAGCCAGGATTCCTCACAGAACAAAGGTTGTGTTCAAGGGAGAAGAAAAAAAAAAAGAAAAGTGGCCACCTCTTCCTCCTTCTTCTTCTCCTCTTCTGCTTCTTTTCCCTCCTTGAGCTCAGAAGTTTACTCAAAGAAGCAGAACTCTTTTTAAAAAAACCATCTGATCGTATGGAGGTTTAGTTAGTTGTACTCCACGAGCTTTGTTTAAAAACACAACCTGTAAACCAGTTTGGACTTTGCTCGAAAGAGTGGCAGGTGGAGCAACTTTTGGGACAACCTTGCGAGACCTGAAGAACATGGGGATGAGATTGGGATTTTAATGCAGAACAGTGCAGCGTTTTTACCCATGCAGGTAGTTAATGTTCAACAAAGTGGTGTCAACACACTCACACACACTCATCTGTTTGTGTGTGTGTGTGTGTGTGTGTGTGTGGATGAAGCAATGACCGTTGCAGTTTCTTATAGGAAGTTCTCGTGATGGGTCTTGGAGGCGTTTCAGCCATTTGCACCCGTTAGTGGCCTTAATTTCAAAATAAAAGTGGTTATTTTATGTTGGATTAATTGTTTAGATCAGATTGGTGGACATCTGGGTTGTGCTTGGGTCTGTTTATTAGATGATTATACTCATTTGTGTGTTTGTTTTTATTTAAGGCACTTTAAGTCATTTCAGATTAGGTTACTTCTATGATTTCCTTGTGGTGTCCAGTTTACTGGGAAAGTGAAGGAAGCTTCTGGTGCTGGGTGTGTGGTTGTTCTCTGCTCTGCAGTTCCCCCCTGGCCACTGTGTGAAATCTTGCTGACAAGGAGAGTGTGAGCTTGACACACCGTGCTGCGACAATGCTGGGGCTGAGAAGAGCAATCAAAATGGTGGCGACGCGCTTTCTCCCCGGCGTGGCAGCCAGGCAGGGCAGACAGGTTCTCGAGGAGGAGCTGCTAGAGGACGAGCGGGCAGGAATCTGCTGCGCTCGACACATTTGTCTGGCTGTGGATCATGCTGGATGTTGTGTGCAAATGAGTTGAGGGATTTCAAACCTGAACGTGATTGGGATGTTTTGGTGCATCTCCATTGATTGTCTCTGTGGTAGCGTGCACTCCGCACTTCTAGCGCCGGCATTAACTTTCACAAGTCTTCAACATATTCTCCATTTTTTTTTTCTACACAAGCAGGTGATTTGTAGAGTTTTGCTGTGGGGGGGATCTTCTCTGAGGCTTCTGAGGTGTACTGGTTTCTCACGTTCATCGTCACCTGATAAATTGCAAATGCATGAAGTCTGTTTCATTCAGGTTGATTAAAATCCCTCAAATTCATCAATATTCAACTGATTTGCCTCCCGAAGGAAAACAATTTGATGCTTTTTTGTATTCCAGCGTATACCGAAGATGAAATAATTTCCTAAAATATAAACTTTACATTTTGAAACTCGATTTATACAGTTTTTATTAACAATAGCGGTATGCTGTATGGTACATATTGCATGAAATATATGTATACGGCTCTGCGATGGCACCGTTGGTTAGGATCTTGCCTTGTAAGAAGGTCACAGGTTCAAATCCTGGTTGTGACCTTTCTTGGTAGAGTTTGCATGTTCTCCCCATCCATTTGTGGGTTTTCCCCAGGTACCTGCAGAAACCAAAGCATGCATATTATGTTAATAAGCAACTTGAAATTGTCACTGTCCCATGTGCGTGAATGGACTGTCTCATTTGTCTCTGTGGCTCTGTCCTGGGGGTACCACACCTCTTGCCAAATGAGCACAGGAGATCGGTACCTTCTCCCCACAAGCCCTTTCTATTGCATTGTTACTATACTTTAATTATAACTACATTTGTTTATATTTGTATATCATATTTTTATTTAATTATGAAAACAACAAGTTTAAATTACAGTTGCACAACATAAAAAACTATTCAGCTGGGATTTTGTTGGATAATAGAATAACAAATGCATGTCCACTGTCACCTTTAAGGGGGTCCAAATTTATGAAACTGCTAAACTTTATAAAACTAATACTATAATAATGCATTTTTGATATACTGTGCATACGGGATTAAACATATTTTCTTGAAATTATTCATTATTACCTTTACTGTAGTAAAAGATTTGGACATTTTTGAGTTTTTCACTTTATATTGTGTTGAAACTGTATCCAAATCTGTAACGGTGTTTATGAACTAGTCAACAGCGTTGAGGTGAGGTGATCTGATGAACTGGATGTTTGTAAGTTATCTGAGATTATAACAAGAAAGCGTGACAGGGAGGACAGAATATCAAACAAGACATACCTCCGTCATGGTTTGAGTGCTGGAAGGAAGTGGTCATCAAGCTCATTACTCCCCCAGTTTTTATTCTTTAAACTTTTTTCTCTCACACACACACAGACCCACACCGGCTCCCTTTTTCTCCCCTCCTCCTTCACTCATTCACTTACTCACTGGGTGATGCACTTCTCCATTCTTCTCTACCTGGGGCAGTGAAGAAGGCCAGGGAGACACACAAAAGCAAATTGAAATGCTCCAGTGAGTGCTTTCTTGATGTGATGCATGGCTCATGAGATGCAGCCTGGCCCTGCTGCTACACTTGCAAGTGTTCTGAAGCACACAGATCCGAAGCAGTGGCCATGACACTACAGCAAAACCCTTCTGACTCGTTCATTTTTACTGACTTGGGTATCCTCAAAACCTACTTTTGTTTAGGCCATGTGGAGCCTCTGCTATTATTCATACAATTTATTTTCTAAAAGTCATTTTGGGCTTATCTGAAGAACTAAAATGCACCATCATGTCTGGGTTTTTACGTGGAACAAGGAAGTGGCCTCATAGAGGTGCCATTCCAGTTTCTGTTGTCAGTTGCCACGTTACACTGCTGCAAAACTGGTTCCTCCTCTTTGCTTTCCACCAGAACATCAGCAGCTGAACATGGTGTCTTCCCTTCCTGGAAAAAAAAATGTTTGTAGCTCAGAAAAGCTTGCAGTTGCTTTCAGTAAACTTAAAGCATAAATTGGAATAGTCTTCTAAGTCCTTCAAAAGACTCAGTGAACCTTCTCTGTGAGCCTCATGCTGCATGCGGTGGGAAAAAAAAGTCTGAATTCTTTGGAGACGCCCGTTCCTTAGGCAGTGTGGTGCCGCTGGACAAGGCCTTCATTGAGCAGGAACAGGAGTGGTCTTGTAGAAGGGATCCACACTGGCTCAACCTCTGAAACAACAGAGCTGTCCAGCCACCATTAAATATTTAAGAACTTGGAAAAGGAGGTCTCAGTGGTAAGTTAATATTGATGTGTCTCTCATCTTTCCTTACTCAGACCTGTTGAGTTGCCTCAAGAGGTCAGTTTAGTGGATCCAGAGAAGAAGCCGGCCTCCTCTCATTTTAAATAAACGCTGTAGCTTTAAAAGACGACCATAACCAAGCGTTACCGTATATATATATATATTTTTTTAGAGTAATCTTCAGAGTTTGAAATTTGGACTCTGTTTCTCTGTATTTTCCTCATTCTGTCGTGGTTGCTCTGAAATCCTCCATCCTGATGAGCTTGAAACCTCACCCACTCCTGTAACTGAAGTAACTGCCATGTCAGGCTTACAAGAAAGTCAGCACTGCAGTGTTTTCTGGCATGGAGTACAACTTGGAAAAAATAAAAATAAATAAAATACCCTTGCAGCCTTTTCTTTTAAGGTGGGGGGAGAGCAGTTGGAGGATCCAACAGATGATATTTTGGTAATAAGAAGGTTTATTTGAATAAAAGCACTGCTTTGACTCAGGAAGGACTTGCGTAGAAAGACGCCTTGTTCTACTGAATTATTGCATCTCGATTGGAGACATTCGGTAAATTAGCTGACCTTGTAGCTTGTTCAGCATGGTGGGTTTGTTTTCTGGGATAAAATAGAATAGATTGATTTGTGTCAGGAAACGGTTTCCAAGGAGAAATGAACTTCAAGGCTATGTGGAATGTAGGGTTTCCTGGAGTGATTGCCCTTGTGGAAAAGCACTACCTGGTTTCTCTCCGAGATCTGTCCTTCATTGGTTTGTCTCCACGGTGCTGTTTATTTAGTTCTTTGCAGTTTCGGGAGCTCTGACTCAGCTCATGTGTCTGACATGGTTGGTTTAGTCTTGCATGTTGTCTGTGGTGCTTCAAACATTATTTTTGCTTTACCCT